GAGCCATCTTCGCCGCCGCGAAGACCTAAGGACCAGGCAGCACGCCTAATTTCTGGACAAAAACCCTTTTACGCAAACTCAACACTTAAATTTGCAGTTAAATTAAGCAGAATTAAATATTTCACGCAAAGGCACGTTGTTAATTTTAATTTGTATTTTTATAATATCCTTTTATGATAGAAATCATCAGACCTTTACACTGAGTGGGGCAGAACTTCGCACCTGACACACTTCGAATCCAAACAGTTACACGTGGCCTCCACGAGAATGCTGTTCAAGCCGGGTCTCACGAAAATAGGTCAATTAGTGTCCATAACTCCATTATACGTAACCAAATTAGGGAACGGGGGAACAGACAAGCAACTCGTTAATGGCGCGCCTTCTTAGTCTATAACTTCGACACAAACTACTTGCATTAATTGCACTTAATTCTTCTACGTTCTATCATAATGAGACACAGACTTGTTACTGTCCTGTGTGTGAAACCTGTACCGTGTTCATTTCATGAAACGAGTGCTCGACTTCAATAAATAAGTGAAGCAGTCCTTGTTCGGGCTCGATACGCAACGTGATTATGCTTTGTTTCACAGACTCCACGTCAAGGACACATGCAACAGACAGCCGACAGGCATAACGCGTAGTTACTTCTCTATAAACATAATAAAATTACGTTTCTTTAAAGCAATAAGAGTGTAAATTTTAATATCAGCTTCAGGTGGGTTAGTTTCCTTCAACTTGAAATATTCACAAAGGTGCAAAAGTAAAATCTTGTCCTTGCTAATGACAAATAACAACGAGTATTGGTAGATTCAAATTACTAGGTCTTCATGTAAGACGCTCGTTACATCTGTTCGATTTTAATCGAGATTGAAGTGTCAACAGATTTTAGTACAAAATTTACTGAAAATAATGTCAGTGTTCTCTAGTTAATATTTGCGTACAGACGGACAGTCAGAGCGATTTTTAAGTGGGGGCTCTGCAGGGCAGGGCAGGGCAGTGCTGTACCAACTCAGGTTGGCTTTCAGTAAGTAAAGACGATGTAGGCAAGACGAAGGTACTGAACCACGTCCACAACAACTACATAGAATGCCATTAATGTACAGGTGTTGAGCGCTTTTAAATATTTATTTAACAAAACGTAGAACTGAAGGGAAGCATTAGCAACTGTTCGTAGCATACGCAAGAAGTGATGTAACTCCAATTATGTCCACTAGGAGCTGAACTGCTGACATGACAATAAAATGATAACCCAGCCCCAGAAGACGTTTCGAAATTCTCCTTCCAGGGGTGGCGGAAGTTTCATTTTCGCACGTCGTTTAGTTTTCATTAAACAAATATTTTAAACCGCTCACATTATTTTTGAACATCCTGAACAGATAAAATATCTATTTTTATTAGTGCAGTTTATAGACCTATGATCATATTAATAACAACTAATACAACGAAACGTATTCACTCTGGCATGCGTAAGAAAGCAGTGTAGGATAGTGTACGAAAAATAGAGTTAGAATTTATTTACAACGTTCAGAATGTTACTCCAGAAAACTGCAGCCATAATGCAACAGTGCAATAGGGCGATAAACACTGGCTTCAGTCACAAATGCCCAACAAAGCATTAAACATTTAATGCAGTGGTAGTACAGTGTTCTTCGGACGCTTTGGAAGAGAAGCGTTTTAATTTCATGGTCAAACGTCGCAGGCGCCTTGGAAATATCCCTTAATTTCAGCGCCGTGCTCGCAAATTGGTGAACTGGAGTTAAACCCTTGGGGGAGAGTGGGGGAGGGGGTTAAATCAGTGTAGAAACTAAATCGGCAAAGAGAAATTAATTTTAATTCAGAATAAGTTTTCTTGTTAATGAAATACGAATACCGTATGTTATTAGAACGGACGGAACACAAGAGGAAATACTACATACGATTATCTATTATTATTATTGTCATCCTAGTGAATATAAATATTAATTTTGAGTTCGTATTCTCAATGCGGTGAACATGAAGATGACCTGTTTCCACGTTTGTTACATTTGGTTGCTCGTTTAATAATTAGCGGTAAGACAGTTAGGTGAAGTCATTAAAAAAGCAACCAAACACAGTCACTCAGATATAAAACCTGAACCCTGAAGATTAAATAACCCTTTCAAAGGTTAATTTCTGGGAATCTGATGGACTAGCTAATGACAGCTCCGATTACTATCACCAGTCAAATGCACGATGCATTCTGAATATATAAAATTAAAGTATTAGGTTCTTCAACGTAATATACAAACCATGTTAATAAAGTACAAAACAATTTAATATGTAGCAGACATCTACGAGGTGCGATCAGAAAGTTTCCAGACTGCGCCTATAAAAACCCGTACACTTAGCTCAGGTATTAAATTCATCCATCACCCTCGAAGTAGTTCCCCTGGGAGTGAACACAACGATCCCAGCGCCGCTGCGAAGCCTGTAGGCATCCCTGGAAATCTTTCTTTGTCAGCCTGTCAAGCACCATCTGCGATTCTGCCTGAATCTCTTCTATCGTCTCAAATCTCCTGCCCTTTAGCTGAATTTTCATCTTTGGGAAGAGGAAGAAGTCACACGGCGAATAAGGAGGGGGCGGGATGACGGCCATGGTGTTTGAGGCCAAAAACTGCCGAACTTTGAGGGCGGTGTGCGCTGGCGCGTTGTCATGATGCGTCGCATGTGGAGTTCTTCCTTTAGAATCAGCTGACAGGTCCCATAGCCTATCCCAACAATGTCGCACAAGTCGTTGATGGTACGACGTCGATCTTCGTGAATGGCCTGCCGAATCTTCGTAACATCACGTACTTCAATATATGAATTTAAATTAATATTAACAAATTAGCAATTCAATTAACATTAACTTTGTTTGGCGAAATAAAAACTTTCATTTGATTACCTGACGCAATACTAATAATGGAGCATATTATTTTAAATTTAAAACGGGTTTCCAAGTGTTCAATATTTCATGTATTTTCAAACAGTAGGTACAGAGACCGAGAAACGTAGGCACAATGACGAGATTAAGAATTTACATTCCTCGCTACAAAAAAATAAGAGGCAAACTGTTTTGTTATATGTTTTGATCTCAACATTTATATAAAACACATGGGAGAAAAAACGCCACAATAATTTTAACAATTCGACATTAATTCTGGACTAGACCCAGCATGTAACCTTACTGAAAATCGATTCAATTATCAGCAGTTCATTCGAAAGTCAAGTTCCGTCACAGTCAACAATAACAGAAAATCAAACGAATTCTGATAAAAGACGTCAAACGCCGAAAGGCGGGTATCCGATTTCCACCATCAGGTAGAGAGGCTGTATAACAACCAGCCCACGCTTTATAAAATGCTCGAGGCTCCTACTAAAAAACCCTGTGAAGCACGTAATTGGCAGGGACACGTCTGAACGCACGTCATGTGTGTTCCCACCCACTCAGATTTATTTTTGATCGAATAAATAGTGGAGAGGAAACTGATGAGACATATGGCGAATGAATTGGAAATTAAATGTGTCCTATCAGAACGGAGACTGCGTGCGTTTATTCCACATCACGAAAAATGCCTGCAAATAAATGCAAATATTAAAACACTAGACGTCGGTCCGTTGCATTCTAGGAAGTCGACGGACTGGAGACAGAATACCGCAGTTCAGTGGCTATGGGAGATTCCAGTCTATTTCTGAGGGTCTTCCCTGGCAAAATGGGAACACGGCCCTACGTATGAATGTTCTGAATCATGCTATTTAAAGATCATGACGCCGCGTAAGTGGTAAATAAAGTTTCGGAGAACTTATCACCTCCATATCCATTACTCCTAATCTGAAGATGGAGGCAATTATTTCCTCCGAAACATTGGTAACCGCCTACGAGACTACACGGCGTCAAAACTAAGCCGCCCAAAATTCAAATTTTCATTGCTGTGATAACCTCAAACGTCACAACGGAAGCTTACATCCGGATATGATTGTACGTATCTTCAAACTTAGCAGATCAAACACTGAGAGTGATCAAGGCGAAAGCAAGAGCCAAAACGCTAGAACAAGAGCTCTTCTCAAAGTGAATTCCAGGACACTTTTTGAAAATAAAAATCAAGATTTAAAGGTATAGCCTTTATGTACCCACACTGACAATACAACGATGAGATGTTCTTCACGCCACTTCACGTAGGTCGCTGTTGCGTTGGTGTTATCAGAGATCATTGTAACGTATTTGATCATTATTGCTCTAACTTCATCCCAGCTCATACAGGTTAAGTACCTCTGCAAAGAAACGCGACCGACGAGGAAGACAACCTGAAGAGGCCCACGCTAGAGCGTGGAGAACACCGAATAAAATCTAGACGACTGGCTTCTCCCTGTTCTGTGTTGTGTTCCTCATTATGGTCATCACCCTGTTTCATTTGATCTATTTACTAGCAGCTCATAAATAAGGAGATTTTGTTAGGCAATACAATTGTAATAGAATCAATACAAATGAAATTAAAGCTTTTAGGATACAAAAATAAATAAATTACATTAAGAAAAATCGGCAAAAATATCACGAAAATAAGTACAAATACACAGCACACACCAAACGCAACGAATAAATAGTGTGAGGCCTCGGGTTTGGGGCAGGTGGGACACAAAAATAAAGACTTGGGCAGCACAATCTCACTAGGCTTCAGAAGGCCCGTGTCCCACAAACGTATTCTTTGCGATTCTTCACAAATCGTGTAACTTAATGTTAATCTGTGTGCAAATACAAATTCATTACTGCAGAATCAAGTATGCTACTGCAAATTTCGGCGACCACACTACATGCACCAACAGATTCCTTAGTCGGGAAGCCGCAGAGACGGCACTTCACTGAGAGTATTTCGTTAACCGTACACCGCACCGAGAAATGTTTAAGGAACTTGTCAGACATCTTAATGTCATATTCTGCAGAAATAATTCGCGCACTGAAAACTTTTAGAGGAATTTCATTTTAGTTTAGCGTAAAGCGGGAGGAGTTGTCAAGTTCAAACCAAAACTAAATTCGCAAGAAAATCAATATAAAGTTTCATCAATAATGATGCAGGAGATAACTTGAACTGGTTTGTGAAGCATAATGATGCGCAGATTTCTTACTATCGGGATCAATATTAGGTTACCGTAACCTAGAAGTTGTTTGAATATTCTAGAAATCTAGTTTTGTGCGTGAGATTGGACTTGGTCCCTCCCGTTCTTCAGGCGCGTTCAATTTATCTTTCACCGGAGTCACTGTTGAAGTTCTGTAATAACAGAAAGAAGCTTGAGATGGGGGGCACACAAAGAGCGTGGAACGATGGAAGTTTGGTATAGCACCCGATAATGGTAAGGCGATTGCGACCGGTTGAAGTTGAAGAAGTCCTGCGGGGACAAACCTACCAGGCCACTAAATCGCTCCTCTTTGTCCTACCGGAATTCCTCCCTCAATCTGTTTTTGTGGTGTTTATGCATTGGCGTAGCGAACACTTTCACCATTTCACGGAGAGTTAGAACATCGAATACGCCTTACTTGTATAAAACGTACCAATTATTTCTATTACAGAAATAGAAGATTTATTCGTTTATAATATGTCTGTCTGTCTAGCTTCTAATGAACTCCGGAGACCCGGACGATCACAGACTAATCTGACCTCGAAAAATTAAATTAGTGACCCGATGTGCTAGCATTTTTATTACTAGCCTATTAAACAAACTGACCGCATTCAACCTGCTCAGGAGTGCAGTTCATCAGCAAGATTGTTTGAACACCACTACGGAACTCTCAAGACAATAACACATGTTGAGTTTAAAAAAAAAAAACAACAACACAGCATTTTGTGAAAGCAGATTGTTCATTAATGTAAAAGTAACAGCCCGCCAGCGAATCCTTTCTTAAGCCAGATTAATCAAGATGAAAACCTTACATCATACTTTTTACAATCTTCATTAATAACTCTTAATTTTACTCTCTCAGCCAATTATTTCATTACTTTTACTAAACAGCATTAATCAACTCATCTTTATCATGAAGACGGGATGTGGCTTCTTTGAGGTAGGAACTGAATGTTTATACGTGCGAAGGTTTTATATGGAAGTTTAGTGATCACAATTTCTCCGGCACATGAAACGAAATCACACGTAATAAAACATGGCTCTATCTACAGACAAGCCTATACAAATAACATTTCCAATTCTCATGGTAACAAATATGATTGTCTTCTGAGATGTTGTCCTGTAGTGTCGCTGAGCAACGTTTCAGATATGCTTGTCGGTCAAGCACTTCTGAAACGTCGGTCAGTTTCTGCTAAACTACAGAGGACAGTACAATTTATTAAAATATTCTTTGTGAAAATTGTTTTATTTTTCCGGAAATAAAGACAGGAAGGGTGGCATGGATATTAATATTTTCATAAAAATACGAAGAGTAAACAGTGTATTTGTTTTCAATATATATATATATATATATAAGATTCACCATCATTACTCGGATGTATCCAATGAAATATCAACGGTAGAATCACGAACGCATCTACTAGTCACAATCCCGCATGAACTCTACGCGAGAAATATTGCGTCTAGTGGGCAGAATTTATCCGTCACAACGCGATTTTATCCTACACATTAAGTAGTTTCCTACACGGTTTTCCGTATCTCCGCCAATGTTATTGTGGGTAGGCTTTAAAGTACAAAAGCGATCTATGACCACCTTCGTAGAAAATGTTTACTTAATTCGTCAAATGATCTCTCGCGTGGTCTCCCACAAGCTGAAGATACTATGAATAAGTTTCATCCTAATATACCACCAACTTCTTCTCACACTGACAAATATTTAGAACAAGAGGAATAACACTCAGTTACACACGTGTTGAGAAGCATCTGAAAAGGAAAAATGCATATGCCGAAAGGGTGGTTGTGTCACGTGCAATCAGTCGCAAAACAGGCATTCATGGATTCCGGTCACAAGATTCAGAACAATGAAGAAAGTTAATTTGTTTTCATACAGTATACAACTAAATTCTAATAGGTCTGCGTTTCTCTACTCACGTGTGGTGAAGGAATGATCCCACCAGTCGGTGCGGCAAAGAAACGCTTTCAGATCGTCAGCTGTTGTCCCCACGATCACAAGCGTTCGTATCACCAGGAACACGCTGAAAATGGTGACGATCACTCCAAGTCTCTTCAGAAGGTCCGGACCTGTGATGTTCACAGCTTTGGCTAACCTCACTCGGAAAATCACGGAAATCCTTCCTGGAATAAAACCACGTTTACGTTAAGACGATGTGGATATTCTCTATGCAAAGTGTGCAAAATGAATGCGCAAGACCATGTTTGTCCATCTGCATATTTAACTAAACATTTTCTCACAAGATTTCTATTAAATGTATTATAGCAAAAAATTATTTATATAAATTTCTCTAATGCAGCCCCTGTTCCCCATTCATCCCAAATAAAATTTCACATAATTTTGCAGCTCATTTTTAAGAAATACCCGCTTAAAATAAGATGCAGACTTCATTAAGTCCTACTGACTTTACCTGATATAAATTTTATGTATTAACTAACAAAAGAAAGTAAAAGATAATAAATCTATAGTCGATAACAACACATACACAAACAAAACAACCTGGTACTGTAAGTGCACGTTACCAGAAACTTTCTCGGGGCTTTCTGCCAGGTGCCAGCATATTTTATGACGCACTGATACAAACGCAGCAAACAGGCGTCTTGCGTGAAATCACCATTTTATTACCGCATGTAAGGGCTAGTTTTCCATACAATTATAAAATATGAAACACGTAGCAAAACCTGGGGAGGCAATGCAAGATTGTAGATTGTTTGTGAAAATTTTGGAACAGACTGCATATACGTCAACACTCGCCCGTGGCAAATTTGGCTGCTCGATACAGATTTTCCCTTCAAGTTCTTACCTCCATGTCTTCAGCGAGAAACCAATTTCTCTCAGCCAGACACGAACTGTGCACGTGTAGATGTTGGGTCGCGGGTACATTACTATCACCTGCAAACCATAACGCACGAATTATTGATTACGCTCCGACACACCGCAAAACGAAGTACAGAAACATACTAAACAACAGGTAAAATTATAGGTAAGATTAGGGCTCTCACAGAGGAGTATAAAGAATACTTCTGGGACGCTGAGACGCGAAGTCTGGTAGAAGTTTGCCGACGTTTCAGGGGTGCCTACTGCGTCCGTCATCAGGGCGATGATGGAGAGAGGAAGCACCTCTAAATAGTCGGCAAACTTCTACTAGAGTACACGGTGCAAAATCTCAGAAGACAGTCATCTTTCGGTAAAATTATAATTTCGTATATTTTAATCAAAGTTTTTTAAGACAGCAGCCGGGAAGACAAAGATTCTGAACGGTGTGGTAGCAAGTGTTCCCCGAAAAGATGTCCTGGCGAACACGTCGCAAAACAAAGAAGCTTTCTGCACACTTGCATTGATAAGAAATTCAGACGATGGATGATACGTCGTGATATAATATGAATTCAAGTTTCCCAACCGACCTACCTGGTAGGATGATGCTACAAGCAAAGAAAGAACAAAGTATCCAAACGGCTGGATCTGACACTGGAAGTAACGATCCTTCAAACTGTATTCATGTACCCAATTTTTCAACCAACAATTTTTAAAAAGCTCATCTGACTTCCCAGGGCAAATGCTGTTTCTTTCGTCGCGTTTCGCATTTACTGCTAAATTGTCAAGTGGGGGACGCCATGTCTTAGAAGACACAATGGACCATGCAGTCGGGGATCGATGATTCCTTTCAAGAGCCTTGTGTACGTACAAAGACACCCAATGAGGTAACCCAGCGTACAAAGGCACAGAAGAAATGCAATGGGACCCGCGGTTAATCCTGCAATAAACAGACATCGAAGTCCACGTCGCGTAAACCTTCTTTTCTATTGAGACTTTTAAACGCCACACGTCAATCATATTAGCTTCTTCGTATATTTAAACTAACTATTCATCTGAACATTTCGTAGCGTGTGATAGGTCTTCGCATTTCTTAACTGAAGCGTGTTTAAGATTCGGCTGCCTGGAAGCCGTCCGTGTCATCCGAGCCCGATAATGAAGTTCACGGAGTCGTGAATGATCTGGATATTGGCTATTCTGATCCTTCATACTCCCGGCCCGCTACCAACGCCACATTAATCAGCATTCAAGAAGTCTGCACAAAACTCCATAAGAACCTTCACCATATATATTATATTTTTCCAGGGCAAAAGATGAAATGAAGAAGGAGAACTTACTAAAAACCTCGACACACAGAAAAAGACGCTACAGAAATATGATGAAGGAGTAGAAAAGAGGAGAGAAAAAAAAAGAGAGAGAGAGAGAGAGAGAGAGAGAGCGTGCTCCGGAAGACGCCTTCTGCCATAGCAGAAGAACAGATACGATAAGTCATATAATGAGAGTGGGTGCCTCCACCTTACACTCCCAAAGGAGGAATCAGTCTCGTGCGACTCCATTTTCTTGGGATACCCAACAACGGCTCCAACCTATCAAATTAAGTCACTCACATGACGTCACGGCCGAAATTCTTAGAAAAAGTAAACAAATATTTCGCCACCTAAAAGGGAGAGACGCCTTGGTAAACACGGAGAAAAATAGCAAAATGAGTCTTAAAGAAATACAGTTGATGTCAATGCACACATTCAGCGTCAGAGTCTACATAATATATGTGCACCTGTGATCCTTAAGATAGCGACTTCCAAGAAGACGCACGCCACGAAACGGATACATGCTTACTATTTCCCAGAGCGCCGACAAATGTGCGTCTTCGGTCGGCATCGCATCAAGCGGACAAGAACTGTGACGAGCAGCCCACTGACATTCGTCGGCGTGATGTTTGCAGTCTGACCAGCGATATTTTCGGGCCAGTGGATTAAGGTGGCATCGGCCTCAACAGAATTTCACGTTGGCTGTTGCTTACCGTGCTCGTGATGGGAAGACAGGGCGAGGCACGTCCCAGCAATGTCCTAACATCTGAAGGGACACAATAAGAGACATTTCTGGTCCGAAATTAGTATGGATCTCAATAAAATCGTCTCTGAAAATGCCGTGTTAGTTCATTGAACGTCGTCGATTCCCAACCAAGTGACACGGCTGATGGTCCGACAAGACTTTGTTTATGTCAGTCACCGTAAAAGTTTTTTATCACATGACAAAAAAGCAGAATGGATCTGGTTCCGAAAAGCGCGCACAACTGAGTAAGCGCCGACTAAGCCTGCGGACTGTCAGTAGACATTTTTTTGCGTCCAGACAACCCACTGACCAGCGAGGTCCTGCGGCTGGAATTTGCATTCGACATACGCACATTTCTGAAGGTGATGAAGAAATCGTAGACATTGATGGACTAAGTAAGTACTTTCTCGAAGAAGAAAAGAAGAGGAAAGATTTATTCCTATAATTGTTGTTGTTGTTATTATTGTTTCGAGTTTATTATTATTATTATTATTATCCCATCTATTCACCACTTTATGGGGTATGTACTCCCATGTACCCGAGACAGACCTTGTCCCTAAGGTACATAGGGCAGCAGCTATTTCCGGGATACATTTTGTTTTTAATATGTATTACATGTATTATAAAATGTTTTACAATA